ATATATATATATATATATATATATATATATATATATATATATATATATATATATATATATATATATATATATATATATATATATATATATATATTTATATATATAGTATTAGGGGTGTAACGGATATCATGGTTGATCTGTGGTCCGTCCGAGCACAACTCGTGGTTCAGAATGCGTGTGACCCATGGATTAATAACTTTTTTGAACTTGTAGGTTAATCCAACATTTATAAAAATTGCAGAGAGATCGCCTCCCGTATCATTCAAACCCGCGCAACATGAATGATAAATGATAATGATTTGCATCTTTTTTAATCCTAAGTGCTGCATTCAAATCTGCATTTGATCGAGACAGATTCAGTTTTTACACTTTTTCAGTTCGTTACAAACAATTAAACAACACAGAAGTACTCGGAGAACAGTTTATAGTTCAGATATAAACATGGTAAAGATTAAAATCATCGTTTAATGGAACTTGACATCAGTGAATGTTGTAGCAATTACATTGTGTAACCAATGGGTGGCAAATGATGTCACTGAACAGGTTTTCAGAAATGATTCACCTGTAATGAAACAAAGTTTGCTGTTTGAATTGTTGAATCATTCATTGAAAATAAATATGATCTGTTGTACGAGATGTTAAGATTGTTGTATAAATCACATTTGGCTCCTTTTTTACTGATCTGAATAATGGTCTGAACCGTGACTCAAAAACCGTTGTGTGATCTGAACCGTGAGATTTGTGATCCGTTACACCACTAATATACAATTTAATACCTCATGGATTTGTTTTTACCTTAAGGACTGTACATATTTCACTAGTGATGTTGCAGTATACTAGCATTCAGCTTAAAGTATGATTTAAAAATTTACATTTTTGGTTGCAATTTTAGAGAATTAGGCGTGTCAAAACAGTTATTTGTTCTGTAGCCAATATATATTAAAAAATCATAATGTTAAGGGGGACAATGTTATTCATTTTAAACTTGCTTTTTACTCCAGCCAAACTTATCAAATAAGACTTTCCCCTGAAGAAAAAAAAGAATAGGAAATACTGTTAAAACATTTTTGTAGCATTTTGCATGAATTTAAACGTAATTAATTTCTTTCTCAGCGTGTCATATAGTCAATAAGGCTGTGGTGGATTATTTCATGTTGTTGCCGTGAGGATGGTGCATATTTTACTAGTTGTTTTGTAGTGTACTAGCATTCAGCTTCATTAAACATCATTTGAGTAATATTAAAATATTATAATAAAAACTTCACAGAAAAGCTGATCCCTTTGCATTCAGCAGTATGTGGTTTGTTTTTCCAAAACTTTTCCATACTTGAAAAATGTAATTTTTCCATGTTTCTGATGAGTGTGTGAACCCGGCATGAGGATTGTTTGCTGCTGTGTGTTGTTCAGGTGGACTGGCCGGTCAATATCGTCATCACGGAGAGCTGTCTGAACAAATACAACAGACTCTTCTCCTTCCTGCTGCAGCTCAAACACATGGTCTGGACTCTCCGAGACGTCTGGTTTCACCTCAAGCGCACCGGTGAGATTTATCAGCCGTCAGCTCTTCTTGTTCAAATATAATATTACAAATAATAATAATATCAAGTAATAATATTGCAACCTCATCAAACAAATGATCTGTAGCTGAACTGGTTCTTTTGTTGATGTTGCTGATGACAATGATGCTTTCCTCAGCTCTGGTTAAAGGTGCGGGTCGCTCGGCTCAGTTCCACCAGCTCCAGCTCTACAGACACGAGATGCAGCACTTCGTGAAGGTGATCCAGGGCTACATCGCCAACCAGATCCTGCAGGTGTCCTGGAGCGAGTTCACACACAAGCTAAGCAGTGCCAGCGACCTGGACGCCATTCACCGCACACACGCAGAATACCTCAACAGAGCCATTTTCAGGTCAGCACACACACACACACACACAGTTCTCCTAGCTTTCGGATTGGACTTGTCATTCTATGAATCACCAAGGACCACAGAATCCCAGTTTGAGCTAAAAAAAAATCAAGAACATGCTGAGAGTAAATGCTGATTTGTGTCTGAACCGCAGAGGTCTGCTGACGGAGAAAGCGGCCCCCGTCATGAACATCATCCACAGCATCTTCAGCCTCATCCTGAAGTTTCGTGGTCAGCTGGTGGCGCAGCGCTGGGAGCTCCAGCAGGGGGAGCCGGTGCATCCGGGTTTCATCGCCATGCAGCAGTCCTACAACACCTTCAAATACTACTCGCGCTTTCTGTTCAAAGGTCAGGAGAAACACTGAGCAACACACAACCCTCAGTACAGACACATACAGCTGAAGTCTGAATTATTAGCGCGTCTGTTGATTTTTTTTTTTTCCCCCAATTTCTGTTTAACGAAAAATCTTTTTCAACACATTTCTAAATATAATAGTTGTAATAACTCATTTCTAATAACTGATTTATTTTATCTTTGCCATGATGAAAGTGAATACTAGTGTCTTGAAATTGTACATGATATTATTTAGTGACATTTAAAGACTTATTTAAACACTTAACTAGCTTAACAAGGCAGGTTAGGGTAGGCAAGTTATTGTGTAACAGTGGCTTGTTCTGTAGACAGTTGAAAACAAAAATTGCTTAAGGGGGCTGATAAGGTGTTGTGCCGAAATGTTTGTGTTTTGTATCGCCCGAAGAATGAAAAATAAAAACCATACGAAGCAATTATTTTTTGAGTGCAAATCATGACCTTTTCAGCTAATAATACTGACCTTATTATGTTTTTTTAAAAAAAAGATTAAACTGCTTTTATTCTGGCTGAAATAAAAAAATCATCTCTGTTAATCATCATTTGGGAAATAAATAAAAAAAACAGGAGGGCAAATCATTGTAACTTTAACTGTAGGGTAATTAGTTAACTGGCTTAACTAAGTTAATTAGGCACAATAATTAATTAGGTTTAATAAAAATGTAAATAATAGGGTATATGCCGAGCTAGTGTTTTTGCCATACTGATAAACTTCTGGTGACCTGTTATTGTGAATTTTTTTCCATTTTTATACGGTTCCTTTTACAGCATCGATGTTGTAATATCATTAAAATACATTCAGTTAAATAAATTCTGGCATTCATTTGGTTGCTCAAGCTTAAAACGAGATAAAAAGCTGTTTACTCGCACGCGCCCGTCAGAATCGGCAGGCTAGCGCAGAAGCTCCATTGAATATAAACTGGGGTAAAATACATGCTTATATTATAAAGACATGGCGGGGGAAATGTAATTTAATGCAGTGCTTCTTGTACAATCTGAGACTCACTTTATATCAAATATCACTCAGCCAGTGGAGATCGCTGATTTTTCATAAAATAAAATCCATAAAATCCTGCTAGATTTCACATCATGCTGCTTTCTTTACTGCAGTAACCAAGGCAACATCATCATTTCTGCAGCTCTGTATGCGTCAGCCTGCTGCATTAGCTAGATTTAATAGATTTGTATTCAGTATATGAATAATGTTTTAGTTTTGGATTAGTTTCTTACATGAATATTTAGTAAATATACTGCAAGTTAAAATCTCGCCAACGTTTCTGGGTAAAACGTGGAAAAAAAAGTGGTTATAAGGTCTTAAGATGCATGGAAAGAGTCTTAAAAAGGTCTTAAAAAGGATTTGAATTCTGCTCCGATTCCTGTATTTACTCTGAAGAAAATAATTCTAAGTTTAAATTAGATGTACCTTAGTTGCTAAAGCGAACTTAAATAACATACTATTCTATAGTGATGGATTAACCAGATGAAGATATACTTCTCAACACACTTCTATGAATTATTATTCTGTAGCTGGACTGACCCTTAATCTGCAAGAAAAAAGAAATAATCTTTAAAAAATCCCAACCCTAAAAAGATTATTTTACCAAAGTATAGAAAAAATGACATTTATGGAGTAAAAGTTAAATCTATAAACAGTTCTTTGTTAATAATATCACTTAAACTAATATAAAAACTGAATAAATATAAATGTACACACAAGTAAATAAATTACAGATTACATGTGGGCTTACTAATAACTAATGAAAAATGTGATCAATATAGTTTTTAGTATTGCCATGTAGCCAGATTTTTTCTCTTAAATGATTTCATTCTAGTTAAAAAGAAATGTGGAACTCATGCAAAATTATTTCTCAAATCACATACGTTTGCTCAGTAATATGTGTGTGTACTGAAATGAAGTTATTTAAAGCCCCATGGGAAATGTTTTCAATCTTGAGTATTTTTCAGTGGATTATTATTAGGGATGCATGGAATTGGAAAAAAAGATTGGATATGGCAATATGATACAGTTTGACAAGATTGTTTAAATAGCGCTATTTGTGATTTGGGGGAGTTTTAACAGTATTCACATATTGAAATACAAATTAATCACAATGCAATATATATATATATATATATATATATATATATATATATATATATATATATATATATATATATATATATATATATATATATATATATATATATATATATATATATATATAGATATATATATATATATATATATATATATA